TTTCCACTTGTATATTATAGAAGTTGGTACTCACCTTGAAACTAACCTACTCTCTCTTACTCAACTACTCTCTTTCCTAAAACCCACCTCCTAACCACCCCTAAACAATGACATTCGAGAGCATTCCTATATACACACAATGTGCACAAGAGTTTTTCTTCACGTGACTCATTTCCAGCATGGCCATGTACTTGTACCCCATGTACAAAAAACTTTCACGATGATATAGATTCCCCCGCTCCATCAGATCTCCAGAGAGGTTAGACTCGTGCCTGGAGAGAGAGAAGTTGTGTTTATCCTGGTCTCTCCACCTGTCACCCAGGCGTATGGAGTCATCACCAGCTACACTATCTCCTGCTCCCCCTCCCCCTCCTCCCTCCCTCACTCCCCACCTCCAGTCAGGACCTCACACAGTGGCCGGTTCTCTCCCAACACCCACTACTCCTGTTCTCTGGTGGCCAGAAACACTCAGGGCTCTGGACCTCCTGCCAACACCTCATTCACCACTCAACAAGACTGTAAAATTCAGTTGATATTAGTTTCAGAATATTAATGCATTCCCCACAGATTCCTTCTTTCAACTTCGTTTGGGTAAAGTTCCCACTTCTTGTTCTGAAGAAATTGTAAGTTCCTTCCTATGCTTTAGCTAATTTAATACAAGGAAAGATTCTTCTTTCTTTGTTACAGAGTTCAGAGAGGTCCCTGAAACTGGAGCACATTACTGCTGCGGTGGTGAAGGAGTTAAAGTCATCTTGTTCAGAGTGTGGGCCAGAAATGATAGACAACCAGCTATTTGTCTGCTATCCAGAGTCTCCGTCGTTTCTGACATATCGAGCCAGACTGGAGGGAACCTCTGAGAGGGACAGTAGCTCCCTAGTCTCTCTGATAGAGGCCTGGGTGAGAGGAGGCGGGGCCAACCTCATCCTGACTGGAGTACTCATGACCGTGGACTCAAACTGCGCAGTAGCCATCTCTTCCCTCAACGAGCCTGAGTGCTCTCCTTCTCACACTCCTACTGCCACTTCATCTCCTTCCACTGACATGCCTGCCTGTTGAGAGAAGCAGTGATGAAGAGCCTGCACAAGTTTCAGATGCTATAATTGGAGGAGTTGTGGCAGTTGTCATAGTTCTTATCATTGCTATTACTCTTGCCATTGTTATCATCATCGTTGTTCTCATCCTCAAGAATCGCCGTGGAGAAGTTTCACTGAAGAACAATTCTGACAAAACGTATGTGTGGTGTGTGTATATAGCATTGACTCTATCAAGTTATGATGATTTACTGGCATACACTAGGAGTATTGTCTGAAACATTTTGTGTTGTGAAGCATAAATGAATCACTATTGTGTTAACATTTCATCTGTGCAGGTACGGGTCAGGAAGTGGTGAAATTTGCACCTCAACCAACGAGGCATATGGGAAGGTGGGGGGAGGAGAGAGAGAAGAGGGATATGAGCTGGTGGACATCTCTCATGGAGAACCTCCTCCTCCTCCAGCTAAACTGGAGGAGATGTATGAGGTTCCCTTGTCCTCTGCCCCTCCCCCCAGTCAGCCCCTCCCCACCATCCCTATCCCTCATACTGATGCTGACACAGAGGAGAAAGACACTGCTGTCTATGATGTCATTCCTGGAGATATGTGACTCTACATTCATGTGCCATGGCGTGAATTTGACTGCACTTGTAACAATAGTTTTCTGTAGCTAGTTCACAAAGCTCACGATCGATGCGCAAAGAGCGCACGCGCAATAAGCCGCCGCGCGCCCCGGAAGCGAAAAGCGTTTGGTATAATTACACGGCTCAGCTTCGTACATTTTCACTCTGCGATGGATTCGAGATTTGTGCTTGCGTTGAGTCTCCTCTGTAGTCTGGAGGTCGACTGTCAGACTTTCCCTTATGTCTCCTTATCCATGGGAGCTGGGCTACCTAACCATAGTTATGTAGACCTTGAACAGTGGGGCAAAGTGATAGCACCAGTGTTTGGTGTCACACTGATCTGGGAGACTTGTTGCAGAAGTGTAGATGGTCCTCATCGTGGACAATGGTTTTTCCCTGATGGTGTAGCTCTGCAGACAAGTGAAGATATTTATGTGCTTGAAGAACAACAGAGAGTTGAACTACGTCGTGCAAACAGTGCCACTTCTCCAACTGGTATATATCGTTGTGAGATTCCAACCAATGCTGTCCATGATGATACAGACATCTCAGTGAGAGCCACAGTCTATGTGGGACTGTATACTAGTGAGGTAAATTTGTTAGCTAAGTGCATCAGGATATGTTAAATTGCTGAGGAAACCATTAAAAATCCTTCATGACTAATACTTATAGTTATGGTAGTCTCTTTCTTCTACAAATAGGAGGGAGCATCTCAATATCAGGAGGAGTGACATTTGACCCTAGCCAGCTGACCCTCACCTGTATCTCCACTGGTGGACCTGCTACCACTGTCACTTGGACCAGAGACTCCACCACTGTCACCCAAGGAACCCAGACTGTGTTGAATGACCCAGTGACTGCACAGTACACCCACACTCTGACTGTGACTGCTTTGGGAACATACACATGTACTGTGTCTAATGACAAGCCATCGTCTGCATCAGCTAGCATCACATTAGGTATATACCCTATTCCCTTTGTTATAATCAGAGTAATTTCACTTCAAGTTGATGTTTCTTCAGATCCTTCACCTCCCACTGAGTGTGACAGCTGTCCAGAGAGGACCTACAAGTATTGAAGTAACCTGGAACCCTCCTGTTTCTCCATTGAATGGTATCACTGGCTATGAAATCTCCTACTCTGGGGGATCTGCAGGCAGTGTGAATGTTGCTGGTGAAAATACTAACAGCCACACACTGACTGGTCTTACCAATGGAAGGACCTATACCATATCAATTGTAGCCACATCATCAACAGACCTAGTCAGTGAAAGTGTTGCTACTACCGCTGTTCGCTTGGGTAAGCAGGAATAATACCAACATTTACAATTTTTCATAACTGATTTTTTCACAGTTCCATCTGCTCTTGTTCTGTATACATCTCCAACAGTCACATCCACTACCATCACTATCACTGGTAGTGTTCCCACTGGCTCAGTGGTGACTGGCTTTCAGGTCCAGTGGCAGAGAGACACTCAGTTGGTGTCCACTACGAATCAGCAAGTTTTACTGTGAATCAAGTTTTAGTGGTTCATACAGAATAACTGGACTAGAGCCAGGGAATAGGTACACCATTACTGTGACAGTCTTCAATGCAGCTGGCAGTGCTCCAGTCAGTAATGCTGTAACTGCAACAACTATGCAGACAAGTAAGAGGCTCAGTCAATATTGTATGACTTATCCCTGTTATATTCATTATTGTTCTACACAGATCCTACACGAGGTCCCAGCTCAGTCAGAAGTGGTACAGTCACTGCCAGTAGTATAACTGTCCATTGGGGAGAGGTGTCTTGTCTTGACCGTAATGGAGAGATAACTGGTTACATAGCACAGGCTGTGAGAAATGGAATGGTAGAAGGAACTGCTAGTGTTGGTGGCAGTGCTAGACAGGCTACAATCTCTGGATTGTCTCCATCAACCTCGTACACTGTCCAAGTGGCAGCAGTGAATGGTGCTGGTACTGGACCATACAGCTGTGTATATGTCAGGACTAATGGTGAGTTTAGGGCTCAAAAGTAAAGTATTATGAGTGGAATTGTGACTGAGTCTCAATGATCAGTGAGGGGTGAGAATGTTTTGACAGTGTAGGCAAAAAGCCATTCCTAAGGGTCTACTAACTGCTGAGACGTGAAGGCAGCGACAACATCAATGCAAAACTTAAAACAACTTGACTATTGTATGCCTGTGAATAGGGACAGGTGTTACTCTGCCTTAGCCGAAATCCAGGGTAAATTTTTTCTCAACAGATGGACTTAGTACACAAGTTATCTCCTCATCCACTACATCTCTGACCATCTCATGGACACTGGAGAGGCCTTTGACAGCTACTGGCTACACCATCTCCTACTCCAACACTAACAACACTGGCTGTTTCACTGACTCGAGAAGTGGTATAACTACTAGTTGGACATCATATTCACTGACTGGTCTTGAGGAGGGAACTCGATATTCCATCACTGTCACTGCCACTCTGACTAGAGGAGGGACTGAACAAGATACCATCAGAGCCACAACAAGAACTGCTGGTCAGTCTATCTCTCGGAGTCTCTTCTCTCTGTGTCCTTTATTCTGAAAACTTCCATCTCACAGTTCCATCTGCCCCTCCCTCTTCTGTGATGTTGTCAGTGGTCAGTTCCACTAGTATTGATGTCCATTGGGAGAGGCCTGAGAACTGCAGGCAGTGGAATGGAAAGATAACAGACTACACGGTGAGGTATGGGGAGAAGGGAGGTGACCAGCAACTCTGGTTTCCCTCTGGAGACTCCAGTGGAGGAATGATCACACTCAGTGGACTGACTAAACAGACAGTCTACACAATTGAAGTGGCAGCAAGGACCAGTGCTGGTACTGGAGTCTACAGCCAACCTCAGAATATTGAGACTCCTGATGGTGAGCATTCACTCTCTGTTTCAATACTTTGATTGACCATTCTGTGTGTAGATGTCTTCATCAGGCTGAATGGAGCTGTCATCCCCAAACATGGCTATGTTGCTATCAGTCATATTGGCTACACTGATGACAACACTGCTCTCCTCTGTATTACAAACCGTGATGGTACTCCTACTTCAGGAAACTGGTAACCTACACGCACCACCACGGATGACTACTTGTAAATGAATGGATGCACCAGGAGTTCCCGCGCCCAGCTAGACAGACGCAAAATTTCTATGGTAGTGAGACTGAGGAGAACCACCACTGCGTACTCCGCACACGCCACTGAGGCGGATATACTGTGTTCACAGTCCCAGATGCTGCCATCCACACTTCAGACATAGAAGCTCCTATGTTGGACTAGCTACACACAACAACGGCCTAGCGAGGTCCAATGCTTGAGGAGCAGTTTTTTAAAAGTGCATTATCAGACTGGTGCGCTCTCTATACTCAGGCTGTCTAGACATTGTCGGTGCTCGTCATGAATTTTACTCTTCATACTGACACCTCATTCACTACACACGTACACCTGTACAAACCCCACTGCGATGGACCTGCTACCACGGTCACTTGGACCAGAGATCACACTGTCACCCCAGGAAACTGAGACAAAAACACTGAGACTGTGTGACTGATGGAGTGACTGCACAGTACACCCACACTCTGACAGATCGAGATGCAGCAGACTCTACACATGTTTAAAAATAGCTAACAGTTCAAATGTTTCAGCAAAGTTACCTGTGCAAGTGATCTTGAGTAAGCTCTATCGAATAGCAAATTTGAACCACAGTACTAGGTCCTCTCCTCCAGCTAATGGAGAGTATCTCAGAATGGGCTGAACCGTCTACTGGTGACCTGGACACCATCAGAAGGCCCAATTGTAACTGGCTACACCATCTACTACCAACCCAAATAAATGGGCGGCTCAGTCACAGCTAAAAATACTGACACAATCAATATCACGGATAATTGCAGGAGCAACTCTCTATCAGTGTATTAGCCAACTCAATACACTACCAAGTACTGTGACCTATGGGACCAACTGCCACATAGGTACTGTTAATATCCAAGTGAAAGTTAACTATTCTCTCTGTCCCATATGCAGTACCAGCCAATATCTCCCTTGAATACTACCTCCTCCCCCACATGGTGGAGACACTCTCACATGACCTGCTCCATCTCTCTTCCCTGGAGTGAATGGTACTCCAGTCTTTAATTGGGAGGGGGCCTGGAAAAACACTACCCCAGCTAATCCCACCTCTAGTGGACAAGTGCTCTATAGTGAGTTACACTGGATGTGATAGCAGCATCTCAGTCTGGACTGTACAAATGTATTGCCATTCTTGGTGGATCCTCAGTACCAACATCACTGTTACCGTTCTAGTATGTGTCTAACAAATCTATATGTGATTATATGTGCTATGACATACTTGCAGACGAAGTTATGTTATAAGTACTGTCAAATCAGGTGATACCACTGTAACCTTGTCATGGATCCTGTATCTGGTGTTCAGTAACTACAACAACATCTC